ATATTTTACAGACATTGCGTGCAACCTATAACAAATCATTGGCCACAATAAATTTCTTTTACCTCTAAAAGACTTCAGTAAACTTGTTTTCCCAGCGCCAGACTGTCCAATGAGCATAACCAATAGCCGTCTAAGTTTTACATTACCATTTAAGAGTGCTTTCTCAAAAGCTCCTATAGCTTTGGGTCCACGTAAAGCGATCTCGATAGGAATCTCATTTCTGGTTGCATTCTCAAGGTCTACTAGCATGTGAAATTCCCTGTCATTCAGCTTAGTATGTTTGTGCTTCATTTCATTAAGGATGTCACGCAGAATAACTACATTGTCCATCGCTACAAGACTTATTTTCTCCCTCATAGTGTCCGAGTACAATATTGCATATATCAAACACGAGGAGTCCCAATCCTTTCTGTCTCCACTTGACATCACCTTTAGACGATTTGAATATTTTTTGCGTTTGTATGGTGACTCCATTTCGAGGAAAAGCTTGAAGTCATAATATGTGTCCTTCCATGCACGATGCGTAATTTTGTCCCATTCTTGTTTAAAAATTGTTCGCAGACCTTCCGGGACAATATCGAAAATGATGTGACACAGTCGTAAAAGGTTGAACTGTTCTGCTGTGTATCCCATTAAAACTGCATCTGTTATACAGGAAAAAGTAGTTATTAGTTACATTTCACAATGTGCAAAAATAAAAGTCATTAAGTCATTCCTTAGCAGCTCTAGGGGTAGGGGGAAAATGAAAGGGGAGGGGGTGGGGAGGACTAATATTTTCCTCTTCACTCTGGAGGGATTCAAAATCTTTATCAAAGCTTTTTTTTGATATGTCAAGAATGAAAAGACTACATATTTTGACTATATGTGAAAAGCTGTTTACTAACCACACGTAGCCACCCTGTGAACATAGTATACTTGGTTGTTCAAAGCTATAACAAATATTCGTATATAATATTCACAATTAACTGTTATGGTTGTCCTGGCACCCCTGTTTCACTTTACTAACCTTGATTTACTGATTTTGCAGTGACTGAGTCCTTTGAAGCCATCTTTCTTTGCAGTATTTATCTTAGATTAATTGTTCCAGCCCTGAATTTTGCTTCAGTCTTCATGGTTAACTCCTTGCTTGACAGTACCACCATTTTATGCCCACCCATTTTAGAATTCATTACAGAAGGCTAAGATTTCTAATCCAAAAATACACAGTTAAAGACTGGATGTGGCTGGTGCTAGTATTAAAAAAAGTAATCATTATAACTATAATAAGCTGAAATAGTTTTATTTAGAATGAAAAAAGGGAAAAAAATTGAGGAAGAGTAAAATATATTTGCTTATCAGGATTTCCCATTTGTGTAGAATGCTCTAGAAAGTCAGATGTGTTATAATGGAGAAATAACAAGTCACTTAAAAAATTTTACATGGATGAAATAATGAAAGTTTCACATATAGAAAGTGAATATATATCAAGACATGTGACAATTGGAATTCCTTCTCAAAATCAATAATAATGGAAACTAGTGTTAAACTCAAGAATCAAACACACTGAACTGTGTTACTTATGCCAAGGCCCTAGGCCAGGGCACGAGGTATAAAATGCAACGCGTATAGTTTTATTTTTTCCAGGTCAGCAGTTAGGTCTCGGGATCTCTCGAGTGCCATTTCAAACTTTATTTTATTTTTTATTTATTTTATTTAGAGGCTTCCATCATTAAGCTAAGTCAAGCTGCAATGTGGTTGTCTGATTCTGACCAATTGTCGCTACAGTTGATGACCTCAAAGTTCTCATGGGACTACCTGTCATTGACAGTATCAATACAGTTCCAGGTGACCTCCACAACCACATTTCTAATGCAGTTCTCGAGAACTTTGAGGTCATCAACTGTAGCGACAATTAGTCATGCTTGGAGTTCCTTGAGGCCTACTACATCAAAAACATGACACCATCTATTAATGAAGGACTGAAGGCCTCAAGGGACTTACAGCTTTTTTAATAAATTCTGCACTTGTAAATATTAACACCACTACATGACTATGACTTTGAAGAAAAAGAAATTAAGAGTTTGTCTACTGACTTGAAATCTGGTAAAGCTAGTGGTTTTGACCAAATATCATCYTCAGATGTTAAACCAAATATTGAACAACTTGCTAAACCATTAAMCTATATTATTAACTTATCTATTTCTACAGGCATTGTGCCATCTAACATCAAACTTGCAAGAGTAATTCCCATTCATAAAAACGATAGTCGCTCGGACTTCAATAACTATAGGCCTATCTCTATTCTGCCAGTCTTTTCGAAATTTTACGAAAAGGTTATTTATAATAGAATYATATCTTTTATCAACAAACACAATGTTCTTTATGAACACCAATATGGATTTAGATCTAAATATTCCACCTCCATGGCTATTGTTCAGCTTGTTAATCAGATAACAACATCTTTGGATAAAAAAGATCTGTCTCTAGGAATTTTTCTAGATTTGTCCAAAGCATTTGATACAGTGAATCCTGCTAAACAAATTAGAATTTTATGGAATCAGGGGAATTGCACTTAATTGGATAACTAGTTACTTAAATGATAGAAAACAATTTGTTGACTTCAATAATGTATCTTCATTGCACCAAACTGTTAAATGTGGTATACCACAAGGAAGTATATTAGGACCATTGTTATTTATTCTGTACATAAATGATATAGCCAACTCTTCTAACCTTCTTAAATTCATAATGTTCGCTGATGACACTAACGTGTTTTACTCTGGCAAGAATATCAATTACCTATCAAATACTCTTAACCAAGAAATAGAAAAAGTAACAGACTGGCTAACCTCAAATAAACTATCAATCAACCTCAAGAAAACTAATTACATTATATTCAAACCCAGACAAAAAAGACTTACTAACAATGAATTTTCACTGAAGATCAAAAACACAACAATCAAACGTACATCAAATACCAGATTCCTGGGTGTTATCATAGATGAAAACTTAACTTGGAAAGAGCATATCAACACTATTGCTAGTAAAATTTCCAAGTCAATCGGAATTATCTCCTAAACTCGACATTATTTATCTAAAAAATCACTATTTATGCTTTATTATGCCTTGGTATACCCATACTTATTTTATGGCAATATCATTTGGGGCTATACATACCAGACTAATCTGTATCGATTAAGAATACTACAAAAACGTATAGTAAGAATCATTACTRATTCAGCTTATGATGAACATACCTCTCCTCTATTTTCTCAAAATCAAATATTAAGAATAGATGATATTCACTCCTACCAATTAGGTCTTTTTATGTTCTCCATTGAAAACAGGATTCTTCCAAGCACTTTTCTTCATATGTTCACCAAAAACTCTAAATTTCATTCCTATCCTACAAGACGCTGTAATGACTTTAGACCTGAGCTTTGCAGAACGAATATTAGACTGTTTACTGTAGCCTATCAAGGGCCTAAAATATGGAATTCTTTGCCCTCCAAATTAAAATCTGCCTCCTCCTTGGCAAGTTTTAAATTGAATCTAAAGGAGCATCTTATAAGTTGCCAGTCCTAACTGCATTGAATTTAAATCCTCTATTTAAGTTTAATCAGTAACAAACTGAACTAGCTCTGTAAGTTACTGATTAACTTATATCATGCAATAGCAAATAATATTGTCATATAAGTAATTTTAATTTGTATTCATAATTTAGTTTCATATAAATGTAATCTATCAAACATATAACATATATATTGTACACATTCTTAATTAATCTACATCTTATCTTGTCCAGCTTTTGTAAACATCTTGCCTTTGTGCTGTTACACTAATTATTCTATTACACTTTGATATTCTCTCTTGTAATCAAATAGGTAGCTCAAAAATATAAGCCTTTGGTTTCCTTTTGAATTGCCTACCTTTATTTTGATCAATTTAAAAAATTATATTTCAACTTGAATTATCGCACGTTAAAAGCTAATTATATTATAACAGATCCTGTATTCTTGTGTGGTCGAAATGAATAATAAATGATGATGATGAAAAAGAAAAAAAAATATTGTATTCGAACTCCAGACTCGTTTCCTTAATCCAAAACTTGGGTTTTCCTAAAACGATGTTTTCCTTCCTCGGAATTAAAATCATTTCTATGTATATTAAACTGTCGCGGATCGACATAGATTCGACAATTTGATAAAGTACTGAATAAGCTGGCACTCTTCGACACCTTTCGGGCACGAGAACACCGTGCTGTCAGGGTCTAGTTTGAAAACAAGAAATGCTATACCTCAACAGTTTGATAAAAATATTGATGATATTTGATTACAAGATGTTTAGTTAAAGTTAGTATAGTTTTGACAGTTTGGAGGGACTTCACATATTGCTGCCATGACGAGGCACTTTTTGGACTCCAGAAAGAGTTCACTTGAAGCTCCCCTTAGTGAAATCAATTTGTACTCGCGAACGAGTGTTAAACCAGTTATGGCATTTATAGCAACCGGACAAGGGACAATAGTTTTTGCTATTGACGATCCTTGCTACCACTCTTGTCAAACGATGGACACACCGAGGGAGATAACTAAGCTTATAGTAACTTAACTTACTATTACGTTGAATTGCGCCCGACACTCTTTTCGTTTCAGTAAACTTTGTAAAAGAACCCTTACTAAAAGCAAACAGCTCATGGACATATCCAAAGTTGGGTCTGGTTCATAAGTAAAATAGTGAAAAAACATTATATACTCACCTTTAGCATGTACAAGTTGGACTCGCATGTGGCAACAACGTAGCTTCAACGTTGTTGTCGATAAAAGTCCGTGACATACGTCATCCACCCGAATAGTATTCGAACGTATCCTCCGAATGTTCGAACCACTGCGTACTACTAGCGAGAGTTTTATCCCGAGAAGGGGGGGAGGGCTGAAGTGGAAGAGGGAGGGTCATATATCATTTTTGCAAGCTTTAGGGGAGGGTCACATCTTCACTCGAACGGTTATCTAGGGGAGGTTCATCCTAGTTTTTAGGTTTTAGCTAAGAAAAAATGTTATATCATCGAGTCGATTTATCATTGACTGACACACTGTATTCTTCGTTTGCACGTTACGTCATAGATCCAAAAAAAAATTAATTTAAACTTAATTTCTCATGAAATCGATTTTACTCTAAAATAAAGTTTAGAAAACTATGTTTCGAGATAATTTTTGAACTTATATGCGAATAATTTGATGCACAACGTGTTTTATTTGTTAGCCAAAGTCATGTCACACAACGCCAGGTCACGCGCATGAAAAGCCGTGGAAATCATCTAAAATTCTTCTAAATCGTAGTTTTTTGTTTTCATATAGATTTAGAATTGCTAAATGTAGTGAAAATAAGGTATATTTGCTACTTTGTACCCGAAATTATGTTCATAACAGTTGGCCGCCATTTCTGGTGGACTTCAGAGGTCCACCAGTACGGTGCCGCCATACATTTCTTTGTAAAGATCGGCATATAAAATTGCTTATAAACTTGCAACAAAAGGTCGGTTCGACTCAAAATTTCACAGAACTACAGAATTTTAATACGTCTATTATGTGAAAGTACCGAAATTTTATCAGGCAACCTTTTATTATATTAGCTGATACTGTTACCCCCTATGTTAGCTCCCAATAGTTTAACTTATGACATGCAACGGTTTTGATTTTGCCTTTTGGTAGCCTACTACACCCTAATAGTACCCTGGTTCCAGAGGCTTGTCTTTTATTCTTTTGCTTACTACGTTATCGAGCCGCGAAGCGGCGAGACGTTTCCGTTAATCGGTTTGTTTTTTCGCCAAGCCTATGGTCACAAGCGTAGTAAATCTCACTTTCATGCTGTATTAAGCAAACCAATCACAAATCGGAGTGTTTTAGCTGTCAAACATGTCAAATAAACGAACCAATAAGAGTTCATGACAGATAACAGATCATATTACTCCGATTTGTGATTGGTTTGTTTCCCGGGGGGGGGGACTCCCTAATATCAAAGGACGG